CATGGGGTCCGCCGAAGATGAGGACGAGGTAGCAGCGACAGAAGACGTAAACGTGTTGGCTGCTAAAACAAAAGAGTAGGTCGAGCCAATCCGTGCGACTGGAGGCACCTGGGCATTGAAAGGGAAGCTGATGGTCGGCGAGCTGGAGACAAGCTTGATGAGGCACGCCCAGGCCGCAGCCCGGGTGGCCAGCATCGCAGGCAGCTGCATCTTGCCGCCGCAACGCGCAGGAGACGGTTAACGTTGGTTGACTTCCCAGCTGTTCACAATTGTCGAGTTCCGTGTTGAGGCAGTTTCGGAAGCTATCGAGAATCAAGAAACGAATATCCGGGCATGTGAGCCTGACGATGCGCTGGTGATTAAGATTATTGGATTCGAGATGCGTCGTAATGTTGCTGCTTACAAGAGCAAAGCAAAACTGAAAAATGATAAAGAAAAAAATAATACTGCGGTTGTCGAACGAACGTGGATGTGGTATCTTTGAACAGAAAATGAGTGACAAAACTGAGATGAGAAAGGAAGAGAACGAAACGCGATCGGGAGAAAGGAAACAAAAAAAAATGACAGGAAGGAAGAGAAACAAAACGTGTCGGCAAGAAAGATAGAGAAAACAGATCAGGGCAACGCGGTATCTGTCCAGAGAGAGAGAGTAGACAGACTGTCAGGTATGGGGCGTGACAGGCCTTTCGCAAAGACTCCCTTGGGCCATCGTCGTGATAATTTCTTGAATAGAGGGGGGGCCCAAGGCAAAGAAGCGTAAAAGACTGCAACAACGCGTACAGCGACAGGGCAAAGGGGCGGAGGGTCAGAAAGCTTGGAATGGAAAGAGATAGTGACCTCCGCAGACATGGCACCAGGATATCTGTTCGAAGAGGAAGGTGTTGATGCTGGGGAGGGATGGAGGGTTACTGGGACCAAAAGGGAGGCTTCTTCCCACCCTTCCCGGGGCCATTTTGCTCGACAAACCTGTAGTCGTTCTGTCGAGACAAAGTTTGGCACCATTGATGTAAGTAAACGGCCAGACTAGTCGTTTAAGTCGTGAGGTAGCCGGATTGGCGAATTCCAGTCAACTTGTCAAAATTGACAGGTTCCACGAGACGAAGTTTAGTCTTTTGGCGAGGCTAGATGTTATTTTTGATACACCTTTCTCAACAAAATAGCGACGGCAGATAGGACAACTTTGCAAAGCAAGAGTTCGGCAAGCTGCTTGCAGCATGATCTCACATTATCATGAAGAACTGGGCTTGCAAAAGCGATGCAAAATGGCTGCAGAACATTTGTTTCGTCGATGCTTCTCCAACGCGTGACGCCAGTACCGGGCACAAGTAGCCACCTCCCTGGGTCCAATGTCGCCTTAATGGACTTCCATTCCTGGGCATTGGCAGGGAGGAGAGATGTGTAGGCCCAAGCCCGGCATTGGGAAAGGGAGGATGTCCTTCGATGTTGCAAAATACAGTCTTTTGTGGCGTCTCGGTGCTTTTGTATGCAGGGTCGGCGCCAAAGGGAGAAAGCTGCCCCGAGTATGTAAAGCCATCTAGTTAGTGCCAGTGGAACCAAGGGGTAAAAAACACGAAAAAGAAGGGCGAGACTGCATTAACGAGTGTGCTAGACAATTGTGCACAGCACAAAGTGACGATGAAGCAATTGTCGGATATCATGAGAGAAAGAAGGTAGAGAGAAGGAAAGAAGAAGGAAGAGGCTCCAAATGGCCTTAGGAGAAGGACGTCGGATTATGTGCAATTGACGTCGAAAGTCTGGGGGAAGGAACGCAGAAACGGCTTTAACACGCGGAGGCAGGCGCAAATGGCAGCGTTAGATAAAAAGCGGGGCAGTCGTTTTGTCGTGCCTTTTCGCTTTTAAGGCACAATCCATCCTAATCGGGAAAGGGAAGGGTCTGGACCTGGCTGGCCCCAGAGAGGCTACGGAAACGGCCTGGCCCAATTCCCACGGGGCACGAAAATATCACTTGAAATCACTGGCGGGACAAAAGGCGGCCAAAATTCAGAGCAGCATCCTCTCTCGTCAGGCAATGTAGATAACAAAAACCACTCACAAAAACACGCTCACGCTCATACGAATCGCATAGAGCAAGAGGGAGAAACCCAATCAAAGCGTCACGAACAATCGAGGAAGAGCATCTGAGTCTGCATTCTTGAGCAAAACCGCGAGCAGTGCACATCGCAATCATTTTTTCCCTGCCTTTTCTTCTTCATCGCGAGGGATTTGAGTCCTCAAGTCTCCTACTTTCTGCACGAGCAGCCGTCAACGCGCAACGCAAGGGAGGGTCGTGTTGAAGAAAGGGAGTCGTTGTGTCCTGCCAAGGCCCAATCGCGCGCTCTCCACAAGAGTAGACAGCGCCACAAGCAAGACGGCCAAGCATCTTCACCATCCACGACCGCAGGGATACTGCCGACCAGACCGGAGACTCGCACGGCCCTCACAGCTTCAGCGGCCAGGCATTACAAAGCGTAGGCCTCGAGAGCTAAAGCTACAAAAGCTACAAAAGCTCCTCGGCCCTTCCCACACTCAAGTCCCCCCGTCCCCGCCGGACCCACGAGGCTGTACGAGGCTGCAATGGCCACCGCCAGCCGGGCGTCGTCGCTGGAGTTGAACCCGTTGTCGGTGGGCGACCTGCATTATCACTACGGCGACAATGCGAGCGATGCCGGCAGCCGCAACGGCGACACAGACAAGGACGCGATCGCGCCGCTGCCCCAGTACAAGGCGGCAGGTGAGACCGTGGTGGGGTTCGACGGGCTTCTGAAGCCGGCGCCGGATCTGCGGCTCCTTGAGGACCTGAGCGAAGGCTGCGGTGGGCAGTTGTGGCCGGCAGGCATGATCTTGGCGAAGCACATGCTGCGATACCATCGTGACGATATGGCTCACGCGAGGATGTATGTGATCTGCTCGGTCTGCGTGATCTGATTGTATTTGTTTCATGATTTTCATTATTTCTGGAGCTGCCGTTATCACTCGTTTGCTAACTCCGTAGACTTGAATTGGGTGCTGGTGGCGGTCTGGTCGGGTTGGCCGTGGCCTTGGCAAACCAACATGCAGACGGCAGACCGGCCCCGGAGGCAGCGGACACCGACAACATCCCCTCCATGTACATCACGGACCAGCTGCCCATGTTCGCGCTCATGGGCCACAACATTGCCCTCAACGGCCTGCAGCGCGACGTCCAGCCGCTGATCCTTAACTGGGGCGAGCCGCTCCCCGACGAGGTCCGCAAGCAACAGCCCAACGTCATCTTGGCGGCCGATTGCGTCTACTTTGAGCCGGCGTTCCCGTTGCTGCTGGCCACGCTGGAAGAGCTGCTCGCGCTCGCCGATGACGTGGTGATTTACTTTTGCTTCAAGAAGCGGCGGCGGGCAGACAACCAGTTTATCAAGAAGGCGCAGAAGAAGTTTTGCATTACGGAGGTGGTGGACGAGGACCGGCCGGTGTTTAGCCGCGAGGGTTTGTTCTTGTACACGTTCACACGGAAGGAGGCGAAAACGACGGCAAAATCAGTTGTGGCCAACGGGGTCAAGCCCAAGACGCAGGCAAAGTAGACGACTTGCGTCCAGCTTGCATTTAATGTTCAGCTGGCGGCAGAATAACGAGGAACAATGATATACAGCGAACCGATACACAAGCATATAGAGCAAGCGAAATAAACGATTGTTACGACCATGGTCTTGCTAGTTATTCTATCAACTTCAAACTGCGGAGGTGGTCAAACTCTGACTGGCAGGGACAAGAGCACAGCATCACAATCACACAGCTGTCTGTCGTTCTCTTCCTGCGACGGGCACCGGGATCCAGGGTCCTCTGTTTTCATGGCCTTTTCGGTCATAGCTGAGCATGGACGCCATTTGCTACACAATCTAGTAAACGATTTGTGAACCTCCCCTTGGAGCGCAAAGTGGGCAAACGTTGCCCATGCCAAATTATACCCTCCTAACACTGCTCTTCCCTGTTGTGCTCGCCTTTAGAAACACTCGAGACTGTGAGACTGTACGGATTTTATGAGCTACGCTGCGCCATGACGACGACGACGACAGCTGTACGACGTCTGTTTGGGCCATATCATGTCACTCAGGTTGCCTGCCTCAGCGGGCATGTCTTTGGTATGTGCGCATAATACGTCAACGCACAGTCTTTTATTCTCGTTTCTTGATCCTTCTGGCAACTGCATTTCCTGCACACCGGGGTGACCCAGCTCGATCGTCCAGGTACGAGGTAAAGGCGATTGCGACATGCCAGAGTCGGATTGGCTTGCCCGACCAGCAGCAAAGATACAAAAACTAACCACCAGTCAAGAATGTGTTGCGGATAAACCGAGTACAAGTCGTGGGGAGAGACAAATACGAGGCGTAATAAGAAGAAAACAACAAGCGAGTACGACGAGCAGAGGCACGCAAAACTCGAATGTTTCATGGCACGTAAAACGTGGCACGAGAGTGTGTTGTGTCGGTCGTCCACACAACAGCATATATCGAATATGCACACAATACAGTAGACGCAAGCCTCCTGCAAGACTCGGCACAGGTCGCAGCCTCAAACACCTGGCCGAGATGTTTGTCATTATGTCGAGACGGTCCTCAGGAACACAACCAGGTTCCTGGGTACGAAAATGCGCGTTCCTGACCTTGACCGGGCCGAGGGATCCTGCGGCGAGATACTGAAGCGTCAATCGGAGCTAAAGAAAAGCCATCTGTGGCCTAACAGTTCCAGATGTCGACGAACAAAGAAAATTCTTCAAACATGAAGCAACTAAAGAACGCCTTTGGGTACAATACTCCAATGGAAGTTGTCTGGACCTCAAGACTTTTTCCCTAAGTGGGGATGTCTTTGCTTGCGTAAACCCCCCACTACGAAATAGCGGCGATGAAAGTTGACTGGAAGGGTTCGTCCATGTCGTGTATACCTCGCATCTCTGTTGCCGTCTTTGTTAGCAGTGACCTTTAGGGTATGGCGAAAAAAGCGCACAAAGACGGGGACTTGCAAGTCCCTCACTATCTCGTGCTACGTCGACAGCCGTGCAAGTTCTGGCCCGTCCTGCAGCAACAAAGACGGGCAAAAAGAGGAAGAAAACAACAGCGCCCGACTGCAGTAACCCACTCACACTGAACCCACAAAAGTCCACCACGAAGGGTCTTCTCAGAGGGCGGGACTACCTCGAGACGGCCATCTTGCTGTGTGGTTTTGTTTTGTGATCCTCTTTGGTCTTCCTGTGGTCCTGCGATACATTTCTTTGCTCCTTTGCCTCCTTCTTCCTCCTTCTCCTCTTTGTCCTCCATCCACCGTCGTGGACCAATCGGTGGCTGGGACAGCAGACCCTCTTTGCCTTTCTTTCTTTCTTTCTTTGTCTTGTCTCCGGCCTGCGTGTCCCCTTTTTCTGCGTCGATACCTCCTGGCGTCGTTCGTTCCACATTCGGTCGACATTGCCCTGCCCGTCCAGTTGTTCCTCTCGTCGTCAGAAACCAAACGACAAAGCAGGTAGCCGCTCGATGTGGTGTCAAGACCGAAGCCTGCAGCAAGTGGCGCACCCCGCCTCGCGTCGCTTTGTTTGCCTCCTTTTGCGGCTTTTTGTGACTTTTGTACCGCTGACAGTCTTGCTTGTCTCGTACGTTCTTCGCTTGTGGCTTGTTGGTGCCTACTACCGAGATACAAGAATGCGCTGTTTTTCGTATTTTCGTCATTTTCGTTTCCATTTCTTCAGTATCGTTGGCGCATGTACTGTTCTCTTGTGGTCTACCTCTGCGACAACTTAGCCCAGAAGACGATGAATGCCGTACCGCACCTGTATGTTGTACGTCGTAAAATACATGTAAGTGCTGCTCAATCAAGTATCTTACTCCGTCGCTGCCCGTTCTTCGTAATGCTAGCATGGATCTGCTCCGCGAGCGGCAGGCCAAGATACTTCGAAGCGACAAGGTCACGGGGCACGCTTGCACTCTCATCGATCAGCTTTGCCATCTCCGTGAAAGTCGGGCTTGTTGTCGGACGTCGTACTTGATGGGAGGCGTCTGGACCAGCTGGCCCTCTCTTCTTCCCTGTCTTTCTTGACCTCTTGCCCTGGAAAAACACCACGACTGGCATGTCGCAAATGAAAGGAGCACAGTCTTGCCTGGGGACCCCTAACACTTCTGCGCCTCACGGCGCCCATTCCACAGTGGAGGCAATGCCGGGCGACTGTTTCTTGTTATGACATTCTGGCCACTGACAGATCATTCTTGCTGCATGTTTCTGGGATGATTGCGGTGTTTCTTCCAGGGTTCAGTGGTCTTCGGCCTGTGTTTCTTCCCTGCCACTGTCTTTCCGTCTTCTGTCAGCGCATGCTTGTCCATCGTCGTGAGCTTGTCTTCAAGCCCCTGCAGGACCAGGCGAAAAGCGAGAAAATACTTGTGCCTGAACGTAAAAGACCAGTCGTGTTGTGTTCCTCTCTGCCGTCTCCCTCCGTCTCTCTGCTCCCTCTTTGTTCCTTACAGATTTTAGCCCACTCCTGCCCAACCCGCCAGAAACACTTGGTCCAATAGACCCCTGTCGTTGTTTCCAGCCAATGAGAGCCCGACACACCTTCCCCTTGAAACCCCACTACTCTGTACCCCTGGTACCTTTTTTCCTCGTGGTGTTGCCTCCCTCTCAGTGGCTGTCTGTATCGTACCTGCGTCGACAGGTACGAAAGTACCTCCCAAGAAAAATCGTGCCTGGTTTTTCTCCCGTTCCTGCCGTTGGTGCCGTGATCCTACTATTCTGTGTAAGTCAAGACTCAACACAACAAACCCATTTCTGGTGAGGCTTTTCCAGTCGTTAAGTCCTTGGAGAAAAACCGTGGCAGTTTCCCAGCCTCCAGGAATCCCTTTTGGTCTTCTCGATTCAGGGTCGGGTCAGCGTAGATCCACCAGCTGTCAAAGGGCTTCCAATCGTATCATGCGGACGTGCCACGTCCAGTATTTTGTATCTCATTTGTTTTCGCCTGTTCTTTCCCCCCCTGCGAGATCCGCCTCAGGCCGGTCGTCAGTCAGGCTCACTGGATGTGCCCCTTCCTCGTCGGGCCAGACTCTGCTCAAAATGGGCCTAGACCGTTGTCACTATGAGGTACAAGCATTAAGGATCTGACTATGTTGTACAACATACTTCGCTCTTGCCTTTTCGGTGGCCTGGCGGCGCTCCTTCCACGAGTGCCTGGACGCCGGAGCGTGGACCCACACCTCCATCAACAAAGCTTTCTTCGTGTGCATCGCCCCCCTTGCCCCTGCACTACCTGCATCCACTGGTTCGCTCTTGCTTTTTTCTCAGTTCTTTCTTTGTCCTCCACTTTGGTTGTTATTTTTGGCTTTTTTCTCAGGTCCGAATAAAGACCTCGACGGCTGCGCTTCTTCTTGCCTTCTCTGACTTCTCCCTCTCTTTCGCTTCACCTTCACTTCAACCCGTCATTTACTTTCACCTTCGACTCACCTGAGTTTTTATATTCTGTTCTCCATTCCTTTAGAGCAGGCTCACATTCGAGATATCGATCTCTTCAAAACATTTCACATTCCTTTCAACTGCCACCTATATAAAGAGCCCTCCGCGAAGGCATCTCACGATCTAAACTTTTGCTTCTTACATCTTGCTATCAACAAAGAACGTCCAAGGATCTCCAACAGCCAAGGCCCGTCAATCCTTTTTGAGCCTTCTTCAGCCTTGGCCGCTACACTACCACACAGCTCATTTCCTTTCGGCACATCATCCGTACAGACCCAACGCCAATCTATTCGGTACCCACCACTCATTTCCAGATCCAGATCTTGATATCACCACCCAAACAACCCACATCTTTCAAAATGAAGTCTGCTGCCGTCCTCACTTTTGGCCTGGCCTCGCTGGCTCTGGCTCAGCCTCGCCACCACGCGCACGTCCGCGCCCACGAGAAGCGTGGCGAGGTCGACAAGCGTGCCATCAAGACCGAGTACACGACGCACTGGGAGACCGTCGTCGTCACCGAGTACATTGACCTCACGGCCACCAGCTGGGTCACTCCCGGTGCTACCCCTGCCGCCTCGTCGGCCCAGCAGGTCCCTGGCCAGTTCTTCGAGGGTGCTTCCTCGTCATCGTCCTCGTCGCCGTCCCCGTCGCCGTCCTCGTCGTCCTCCACCACCACCACCACCACCCACTCGACGTCCACCACCACCGTCACCATCTCCCCTGTCTCTCCCACGACGTCGTCGACCTATGTTGCGCCCACCACCAGCACCCCTGTGGCTGCTGTTCCCACGACGTCGTCCACTGCTGCTGCTGTTCAGGAGCCGTCGACCCCCGCTTACGTCGCGCCTTCTGTCGCCACTACCTCGACCCCGGCTGCCGCTGCTTCGCCCTCGACCAGCTCTAGCTCGTCGGGCTCCGGCGGCTCCGGCGGCTCTGGCAGCTCCAGCGGCTCTAGCGGCACCACCTTCACGGGCGACATGACCTACTACACTGTCGGCATGGGCTCGTGCGGCACGGACCAGACCGGCGAGGACTTGAGTCAGAACATTGTGGCCATCAACGTCGAGCAGATGGGCTCCCAGTCCAACGACAACCCGCTCTGCGGCAAAACCATCACCATCTCTGCCAACGGCAACACGGCCACGGCCACAATCATGGACAAGTGTATGGGCTGCGCCTACGGCGCCATTGACGTTAGCGAGAAGGTGTTCACGGATATCTTTGGCAGCCTCGACGCAGGCCGCTCCCCGGTCACCTGGTGGTTCAACTAGAGGCATTCATCACCCCTATTTGCTCCTGACCATCCTTTGCTTCAAACCCGCAACTCCCTTCATTTCATGTGTGTATTTGGAATCCACCTTGAGCAGTTGATCTTGCTCTTTTTTTGCATTTCCTCTCTTTTTCGGTGTATAGACAGGGCAAGCAGGATGGATTGACTTCCAGGCGAAAGTTTTGTGATGTTCATCGTTACAAGCCATTCCACTCTATACTTGCCAAACACGCCTCGCATCATATCATACACATGGGATTATACCCCCTTTCCTTCCCACATCGGCACAAACCCCATTTTGACGACTACGACACAGTAAAACAAAAAAAAAAGCGAAATATCTCAAAAAAGAACATGACAACATAAAGGCATCGCTTGCGATTGCCAACTTATGAATTTTACCCCTTGCAAGAATGGACACAAACCGACAAATGGTTGGCGCATGAAGGAAAGGAATACACCTAAACGAATATGTTCGGGTGGAAATCATATGGCCGGAACTTTCAAGGCATTTGGGTTTTTTTGTTCAAATTTTTAGACGATGGGTTTTGTTTTTCTTCATCTGCTGTGTTGGTATCAGTAAGAAAAATAGCAGGGTTGAACTAGGAAAGTTTTCTGACTGACTTGGAGTCCCCTGCTATTTTTTTTTTCTCTGCCTTTCACTTTCTTTTTTTCTCTTTCATGTAAATACTTTTTGACATTTTGTCATGGCAGCCATCCCTCGGAGGACGAGCCTCGGCCAATTTTTTTTCTTCAGAATGGACTTATCAAATGCTCACAAAGTTATCACGATGCGTGAAATTAGTTATACCCGCATGACAATATCAAGCAGTAAATCCGAGCCATGTGATTGTTGCTACCCTTGTTGGCTGTATGTTCTGCTATCTGCTTTCCCTCCTGCCGTGTATAGTCAATATTAAGCTGCTTGTTTCTGGGAACGCCAGCATCCCCAAACGTCACAAATGGTCATATTACAACATCATCGCCAAAGTAACATAAGCCACAACTGCGACAGGTAGTGCCATGGTAGCAGCAGTGAGCGCACCTGCCCCAGAGGATGGCTTTGGCGACCCAGACGCTGTGCCCGAGGCTGTCGCCGACGTCTTTTTGCCCGTGCCGGTGCCGCTCGCTGTTTCCGTCGCTCCTGTGCCAGTAGCCGTTGAAGAAATCGCTTCAGCACGTGCCGTTGCAAAACACTCGCCCAGCACCACCAGATCGTGCAGGTCGCCGGGCCCTTGCGGGAACATGGTCGCGGCCGCATACCACGCCTGAGGGCACTCGGACGCGAGCGTCAACAGCGGGGCAATGCCCGACGGCAAGAACGACGCCGCCGCGCGGCCGTACGATGTGTACTTGGACAACACGCTCGATGGGGCAACCTTGGGGAAGTCGCACCACAGCGAGGGCGCGGGCGAGCAGTCCGCGGCGGCTGTGGCCGGCGGGGTGGCAGCGCCACTACCACCACCGCTACCACCACCGCTACCACTGCATGCCTGGCTCGTCAAGACCGACCCGTACGAGGTAAGAGCGCTGGCCAGGTCGTCGGACGGGGCAGCGTGCAAGAAGAAGGCGGCCAAGAGGTCGGACTGGCAGGCGATGGACAGCCCGACATCGCTGATGGTGTCTTCGGTGGTGGTTGGTGCGGCCGTGGGCAAGAGCGTCGAGAGGGCGGCGGCAACGTCCGTCGCATCGGGAGCAGCGGTGACGGTGGCAGGTGTGTCGGCCGCGACGGATGCAGCTGTCATGGCCAGCGACAGCAGACGTGCCGCCATCACGCCTATGCGGGTCATGGTGATGGAGATGAAAAGCTGTGGGATGGAAAGAGAAGCAAGGTAATATGAATTAAACAAGAGGGCATGCAGTGGGTATTGGGTTTTTCGGCACAAAATGAATTAAGAAGAGCACGAAAATAAATGACTCGATTTTTAGCTTGCAGCTTCCTTATAAATAGGAACAGAGAAAAGAAAGAAAAAGGAAAGAAACAAAATAAAAAAAAAGGATGCAGATCATCGCCATGCACTGGACGAAAGGAAATAACTCTTAGGGGAAAGGGGCAGGAACGCGGCAGAGAATCCGTTTCACGTCTTTCTCACTTCTGCCTTCTCTCTCTTGCTGTTTCTTCTCCCCGTTCCACACGTTGCTGTTTACCCCTTGGACTCGTTGATCTGCTGTGCCGCAATATAAAAAAGGCAGTGCCTGGTGCCTCCCGCGCCTGACAGGACATTGCTTGAGTTCGTGGGACGATTCCAGGGACATATAAACGTGCCGCTCGAGGCGCAGACGCAGACGCAGACGCAGACGCGTCTAGGGACGGAATTGTCTGTCTATCGTCTATCAAATAAAGGATACAGGCTGTGTCAAGGTAAATCAATGTATCCTTTTCCTGCGTCGATATGTGCGTACGTCGTACCCGGTGCGGCGGTACAAAGGCGAACCCAAGGCGCAGCGCATTTAACGTATGTACTTGAATATTTTAATATTTTAAGTTTCAATTTTTCCTTAAAAAATAAAGACGACGATCAAATAAGTTGTAACCATTTTAAAAGACTAATATAACGCTATTTTTATTTTTATATCATACTTGATTCTATATCTACTACCTAGGACAATACAACTTACTCCTCAAAGTGGTCCACGAGGTTCGGAAAGCTGCTATCCAGGAGCGTCTTGATCTCGGCTTGGCAGGACACCTTGTCGTACTGCGCCAGGTCCGGCCAATGGTGCTTCTGGTAAATCTCGCGCACCCGGGGCACGACGGCGTCCCGGTCGTTGGCGTGGAAGTACGGGTGCGTCACCCACACCTTGGTTTTGGTAATGGGCACAAACTCGAGCTTGCGGAACTGGTTCTCCAGCATCTTGAAAAAGTCGGGAATCGACCACGCCGTGCTGTCGCCGCGCCACTCGGCCTGCTCTTCGTCCTCTTCGTAGTCGTAAGGGTCGTCGCTCACGGGGCGCACCGGCCGGCCGGCCGCCACGATCTCGCCGGGACACTCGTACCACAAGACTATGCCGAGGTCGGTGTCGAGCACGATGACGTCGCTGTTCGTCCAGCCCGTCAGGCCGACGACATGGGGCGGCAGGATCTCGCTGAGGGTGGCGCCCTCTGTAAAGACCCGCACGGACTCGGCGTCCTCACGACCGTTGGCAAGGTTGGCGGCCGCCTCTTCCCAATTGGCAAACGTGGTAAAGGGCGCAATTTTGACGGTGTCTGAGCCGCCGACGGTGGACCGCTGGCGGACAAACGGCAGGTGGCGCAAGAGGTCGATGACGGTTTCGTCCTTGTCGACGCTGGCGAGGTTGGCCGCAGTGATAGACGGCCAGCCGCCTTCATCGCCACCGTTGGCAGCTGGGGGGTGCAGGAAATCCGACTCATCGAGGTACATCTGAGACAGGAAGTGAAAGTAATCGCGGACCGCCTTGACGCACTCGTCCCGAGAGTACTCGATGTCGTCGAGTTCAGGCATGGCGGATGGTTGTGCCAGCAGCTGTATGGCGGCACTCTATGTTAAACAGGAAGAATGTGCGTGGTGCGAACAAAACAGCTTCGAAAAGGCAGCTTCGGAATGTTGGGATGACAGATGACGTGAATTTGAAGACAAAAAAGATAAATCGATAAGATGCCGACAACCACAACGCAAGACGAGTGCCAAGCCAATGCAATAGCAAAAGGGCCCCGCAATAAAAGGTCTCAACTGCGAGAATGAAGACTGGAAGGGGTAATGAGTTTGGTAGTTGGCTAGAACGAAGGAACTGACAGCAAAGCTGAGGCTAGGAAGTTGGTTCAAAATGTGAAGGGATGAAAAGACGATGCAGAAACAGGTCCCAAATGGACCACACAATGGACCACAGATGTTGATCTAAGCAAACAGTGCGGCAGCAGCGCGAGGGACTCTCCCGGCTAATCGGTCTGCTTTCCCCTCGACGGAAATGACACCCTGCAAACAATTAGACGGCTGCGCCGCAAATGTGCCGCAGCATTCATCGTTAGCCGACGCAGCTATGGTATTTTGGTCTGCATGGCATTTGTACTGTCTGCTTGTGCTTGCCGACCCACGTCTCTGCCGTTTGAAGGATTTCGTCATCCCTTCTCAGAGTGTGTCGTTCAATATCGGCCTGCTGCCGCTGGCCGGCCTCGCAATCTCGGATCGGGGTAGACGGCGAGGAGAGCTGGCTCGTCTGGCAGCCCTGCCTGGTCTTCCTGGCTTGCATTCTGCATCTCGCACTTTGGGAGACTGCACGTCTACTCCTGATATCGGCTTGATACAAGGTGTAGACGTATGGCGACGGAAAGCCGACTTGCATCGCCTCGACTTCGACTCAAAGGATCAAGGACGCACTTTCGGCCACTGTCTTCAATATCGCGATATGAACAACGCGTCTGCTCTGCCCCGAAAGGATTGTTGCTGAATTACACGGCTGCAAGCGTTCAAGCGGCAGCCATGAGGGGAACGTGTCGACACGTCGGAGAGAGGGCCGATACGATAAGAGCGAACATGAAGAGAGTTGATGAGAGTAAGGAGAAGGGAAATGGACAGAGTCAATTAACACAAACAGAGAATAAATGGAAAGAACGGTATAAATGGAGTGTGGCCTGCTGTCGTAGTTGTAGATGCGACCCGGAGAGGAAGCTGCGATGACCAGCATCTTGTCTCGTTCCTGCTGTCTTGAGCTTCTTCACGATGCCGCCGACCAATCGCACTTCCCCAAAGCCCCTTTTAACAGGCGTAGCTGATTTTGTCGGACGTGTGCTCCTGCCTCTCTTGTTTCTCACAGGCCAATGCCATGGCGAAGCTACCTCAACCAATGCTGCCGATTCGTCTCTGGCTTCGCTCGACCACCTCCTCGATGGTCTTGATACGCCTCCACTGAACGAAGGCTTCACCTACCTGCCAGACTTCCACGATTGCCCTCTGCCTTGCAGTGACTATGCAAATGTCTTCAGTTGGGTTCGCTACTGGACCCCCGATCAACTGCAGAGATGTAACGAACCTCTCCTGCTTCAGTTCTCCGTGGAGCAGCCGGTAGCATCCTCAGCATCCTCATCGATCGGAGCGGGCGTTCCTGTCTATGCTTGTTCTCTCTCGCCAACCGCAGCGGGCAGCTCGACTGCCAGCCCGCCACCAATCGACAACCCCAAGACATCCAACAATCTGAACAAGGACCAGTTGAGCCGTGCAGTTGCATGTGCCGCACCCAGTTCGCCCTCGTCGTCTCCCAGAGGCAACACCACAGCCGTACAGAAGCTCGTGGTGTCCTCGGGCGCATCCCGGAACGCCTCCGGGGACGGAAGTGATGTTTACGCCATGATGAAGGGTCTGCAGTCTTTCTTTGAGGCGCAAGGCAACTGCGATGAGACTCTTGTCTTTGCGCGCCACAAGCAGACCACCATGGGCATGTATGTGGGTGCCAGCTTGGGCAAAGCAGCTACAACTGATGCTGTGCTCACATCGCTGTCGAGTCGTCTACAGACAGCCGGTGCCGCATCGCAGCCACTGGTCGCTCAACTCTGCGGAAACAGCGGCAGCAACAACCGTACAACTGAGCAAACCTTGGGTATTGCCATGGACGCCACGGGGGACTTGTCCATTGTGCAGCAGGCCGTTGCAGCATGGTCCAAAGGAAACTGTGTCTCATCTCTGGGTAGTAGTTTGCAACAGGACGCCTCTCCTGTCGAGGCCCATGTGGTCGACCTCTCACCAACACCTCCACGTATTAACAGCACATTAGCTGTGAGCCGCCGTTTTCTCGGATCTCGCTATCTTCGCGGCCGCAGTGCCGACAACGCGACCGTCAGCGCGGCCACTCCGACACCGCCCGCCAAGAACTCGGACGGAACGTGCGCATCGTACGTCATCCAGAAGACGGACACCTGCTCGAAGTTGGCTACACAGTATGGCATCAATGTCACCGACATTGAAAAGTGGAACGCCAACAAGACGTGGGCCTGGACCGACTGTGCGGGCATGATGTACGGCAACAATATGTGCCTTAGCGAGGGCCGGGCCCCCTTGCCACCTCCGCAGCAGGGCGTCGAGTGCGGGCCGACGTTGCCCGGTACCACGCTGCCCACGAACAAGTCCGTATCCATGGCTGACCTCAATCCGTGCCCGCTCAATGCCTGCTGCAGCAACTGGGGCTTTTGCGGTGTGTTCCCGCAGCACTGCGACATTCATAATGCGCCCGGGAGCAGCAGCCCCGGTGCCAAGGACAAGCAGTTCCAGAACACCTGCATCTCCAACTGCAATCGGGACATCAAGCAGAACTCGGGCCCGCCGGATACCCAGATGCGCGTCGGCTACTACGAGGCCTTTGGCATGGACCGCCCCTGTCTGAACCTCAAGGCGAAGAACGCCAATGTCGGCGGCGTCTACACGCACATCCACTGGGCATTTGCGGCCATTGATCCGACAACGCTCAAGCCGGTGATCAACGACACCGACAAGCAGTGGGCCGACTTCAAGGCTCTGCAGGACGTGAAGCGCATTGTGTCGTTTGGTGGCTGGTCCTTTTCGACCGACGCCGCGACGTTCGAGGTGATGCGCAAGGCCATCTTGGAGAACCGCGACACGTTTGCGGCCAACGTGCTCAAGTTTGTCAACGACGAAGGCCTTGACGGCGCCGACTTCGACTGGGAATATCCTGCCGCACCAGATATCTTTGCCGGAGGCCAGCCGATCGGGCAAAAGGGCGATGGTCTCGGGTATCTCAAGTTTTTGATCACCATGAAGCAGAAGCTGGGCAAAGACAAGTCACTGTCGATCGCCGCGCCGGCATCCTTTTGGTACCTCAAGCCGTTCCCCATCGACCGCATCAGCAGTGCCATCGATTACATTGTCTACATGACGTACGACCTGCACGGCCAGTGGGATTATGGAAACGCAAACTCTTTCGACTCGTGCACATCGGGCAAGTGCATCCGTAGTCACGGTGAGTAGCCCCTGAAAATGCAAAACATGTCAACAACGGAGACAGGAGTAAGAATCAAAATCTGACAGAACAGTCAACTTGACCGAGACCAAGAACTCCCTGTCCATCAGTAAGTGTTACCGTTTTCTCATTGTCTTACATTTCTTTTCTTTTCTTTTTTCATTTTTTTTTTCATTAACAGTATTCAGTCACAAAGGCAGGCGTGGCCAACAACAAGGTCGTCGTCGGCGAAGCTAGCTATGGTCGCTCTTTCCATATGGCCGAGCATCTCTGCTGGGGCCCATTGTGCGAATTCACTGGATCACGCAACCAGTCGGATGCCACGCCCGGCCGCTGCACGCAGACGGCTGGGTACATTGCCAACGCCGAGATCAATGAGCTCATCCGCCAAGGCGCACAGTCAATTTATGACGGCTCGTCGGACACCGATGTTGTCCTTTACAATGGCGACTACGTTGCCTACATGACGCCCACTACACAGGACCGCCGCCGCGACACCTGGAAGGGCCTCAACTTTGCCGGTACGGTCAACTGGGCTGTCGACCTGCAGGCCTTCACTGCGGACGACATGGACAACGCCTCGGGCGATCGTGGCAAGGCCGGGTCGGAGGGCTGCATTGCCGGTGATGACCTAACAGTCGACACGGGCGACCTGTGCGAATTTACCTGCGACCTAGGCTTCTGCCCCGAGTCGCTGTGCTACTGCACGGAGCGCGGCATCTTGGATCCGCTGCCGGCCGTCAAGAACGGCTCCGCCAATGATGTCGTCATCGCCTGGAATGAGCAGGGGATTGACATCAACAAGATGTGCAAATTTGCCTGCACGTACGGCTACTGTCCGGATGACGTGTGCACTACACCTTTGGAGACCATGGTGGAGGATGACACTGACGATACGCCCCCATATGCTAATCCGGACGACGACCCACGCGTTGCCAATGCCAACAAGTGCCTGATTTACGAGAACGGCGACCACGACGACAGTGTCGCTCCTTGCAAGATCTACTGCAAGCCGCAGCTGGACGCAGCAGCGGCAGCTGGACGGACGAGCAACTACGGCTGCGTGGGTTTCTGGCCACTCAACGAACCCATCCCTTGGCAAACAATCTCAGGCTTGCCCTGCCGTGTGGCCGGCGGCACTTGCAGCTGCGATAACTACTTGGTCAACGAAATTGCCACCACTGTACTCGAAGCCCTGCCCATAATTGCAGAGGTAAGAAACCTTCTTCCCCTTTTCGAATCTAACGTCGTCGTTAACAATCAAAGATTGGCTGCTATTTGATCATGTCGACTCTCAAACTTGTTGTCGACATTGGTTCCAACATCTTCACCGGCGGTGCATTGTCGGCAGGTTTGAGTACGTTGCGGTACAAAGTTTCCCTTTTGATATTTGACGCTTCCAACTAACACATCTAGATGCTGTAACGACCGCTGCGCAGATCGTCAACTATGTATATCCAAGTGACCAAGACCCGCAGGGAGCGTTTGACTGGTGGCTGAGTCCCTGCGGCAACACGGACCTTGTGCCTGACGACATTAAGAAGGCCTTTGGCATTCTCAGTGATGTGGCTGACACAGTCACCGGCTTCAAGGGCCCCAAGAACATTCCCAAGGGAAGCGGCCGGCACGGTGACGATGGCAACCCCAAGGACCAGTCCAAGCCGCGACCGACGTCCAACGAACCCAAGCCAACCAGCAAACCTACTGATAAGCCGACCGGAAAACCCACAGACAAACCAACGGGCAAGCCGACCGACAAGCCCACGGCTTGCCCGGTACCGACGAAAAAGGTGCGCCGGGGTATGGGTATAGGTGCGGGGCATGGTGGTGTGCCGCAAACGACGACGCGACCGGATGGCGCCGTCGAGACGCTCTGGCCGCGTGGTGAGGCCGGGGTGATGACGGCCGACCAACACGGCGAGTACGAGTCGTACGACAGCGAATACTACGTGGACGAGGTCGACTCGATCAATGCCTCTTGCAAGAACAACAAGGCCAAAAAGTGCAAGATCCCCAAGGGCAAAGACGTGCAACGACTCGGCACCGGAAAGAACACGCTGCGCAAGCTGTCGTGCGTCAACAACGTTGTCAAAACACAGGAGATGATTGTCACATCTCTTGTCTACGCGCCGGCCGCCACGAGCAGCGTGGTTGCCAGAAAGTGCGAGGCGGCCTGGACCCAGGCCTGCTACCATTACAGTTCGGTTATCCGCGAGAACCCGCAGTACGCGACCCTGACCTGCCCCCAGGAGGCGGCAAGCACCAAGCACCGACAGGACGCCGAGGCCACCAAAGTCTGGAGCGACCAGCACAAGGGCAAAGGATGGCTTGACCCGCAGCACCGCCAGTGGCCCAAATGCGACCGCGACGAGTACCCGCCCGCGTACCTGCTGAACGACGCCGACCCGGCGTTTGTTAATAGCGGCCACAACCGCAACGGCCAGCTCGTACGCTTCGTCCCCGGCAAGCAGAATCAGCGCGCCGGCGGCATGTGGAAGGGCGTCTGCTTCAATGGCCCCGTCAAGGAGCTGTCGGACCGCGAATTCCAGGACCGCGTCGCGCGCTCGCCGCACACCAACGTCATCCACGACACGAACCTGGTGCAAACGGAGGCGGCCATTACCGTCGACCAGAGGCCCGAGTTTACGATTAACAGCTGGGGTCCGCCATCGTCGCCCGACGACGGGCTGGGCTCGAACCCGTGCTGGCCGAGCGCGATTGCGCCGCTGGACCCCGGCTTTGCGCTGTTGACGTACGACAAGTACTACGACACGCACCCAATGCCGTACAACTACCTGGCCGCATATGTTCCGCCGGCCGCGCCGCAGCCTACATAGCATGGAGCTGCTAGAGTACTTTTGATCTGATTTGGAGGATATTTTTGACTACGCTGCGCCCTCGTTTGAATAAACTATTGGATGTTTCGACCACATTTCAATGTGCTGTTCCTAAAGCTTTTGTAGTGTCATGGCTAACTGCCTAATTCCGCCACTTACACTGGAAATGTCGCGTGCGTTCCCCGCTATGGGTCGGGATACGGGTAAACGTTCCAGCCAACAGAGGAGCCAATTTGCCGAAGATCGGCGAAATGCGCCGCCTGTCAACCGCTGGAATGACGGGGAACCTGCCCCTAGCACCAGGTACTCCAGGCCTTCAATGCATGCGGCTTCGGCATATGCAAACGGCTTATAATCGCCGCATGGGAACCCGACAACATCGAATACCGACGGTTTCTTTTTACCTGACATTGAACAAAAAGACTTTTCTACCTCACTTTGCCTCATCTTACCTCGATTACTAGTTCAATCTACATCACCACTTTGACACTGCTCCCAACATGCGTCTTCCTTACGCTGCCAACCCGCCCAAGTTTGCCGACGCGGCCTCCAACGCCATTGTCGAGCGCATCGCCGCCCGCCGCGCGCCCCGGCCCCTGCAGCCCTTGGACCTGGCCCTGCTGCACGCGCCCCCCGTTGCCGACGGCTGGAACTCGTTTCTGGGCGCCATCCGCACCAAGACCGACAGCGTCCCCGCCGACCTGCGCGAGCTCGCCATCAGCCGCGTCGCGGCCGTCAACCGCGCGTGGTACGAATGGGGCCACCATGCGCCGCTGGCGACGGCGGCGGGCGTGCCGGAGGCAGGCCTGCAAGTGGCCCTTGACGAGAAGCCGTATGCCCTCGACGACCAGTCTGCGGTGGCGAGCGGATCGTTGACGGCCAAGCAGTGGGCGGTTTTGGTGTACACGGACGAGATGACGCGCAAGGTCGAGGTGGCGGACGGGACGTTTGCGCACCTGCGCACCCTCTTTGAGGAGCGGCAGATTGTGGAGCTGACGGCCGTGGTGGCGGCGTACAACTGCGTGAGCCGGTTCTTGGTTGCGCTGGATGGTCGGTTTCCCACTCCCTCCGTTCCCCCAAAACGTTATGTATTTGTGCACGGCGTTCAATCACGACGTTGGACTAACAAAACAGTTGGTGAGAGAAACGGCACGGGACCAGATGCTGGTCACTAAATGGCATGACGATCGCAAACGAAGATGAGTGAAGATGATGCGAAGAAATGATTCAACGGAGCTTAATATAGTTTTCGTTAGTTACAAGGGCACCATATGGGCGACCCATGAGCCAATGACAATTATTAAGAGCTTTGGATATAAGCTAGTGACGGTATTTCAGGATCACGACCACGGGAGGTAGATCGACAGTGTGTATATTGAATATATAAACGTAAGTAAGTGTAGGTGAAATGGTCAACGTTGTGAATGGAATAAAATGTAAAAGGGGTATCTTTATATGTGCAAAACGACCCTAGTCCGTCAAGAGCCATACAGGGATGAATAAGCAAGACCAAGAAAAAGAGAAGAGGTAACAAGAGCCGTCTCTAAGGACAGAAGAGACAAGAAAAGTAAATGTGACGAAGTGAACCGGGAAATCCCAAAATTCGCCCGACCGCCGAACCACCAGATGACAATTGCAAACCGCAAATCGAAACCGCTGCCAGAAATAGCCAAGGATGACCCGCCAAATAAATTAACAAATAACGTGTAAAAGAGCAAAAGGTGGAGAGAAAGATGAAAGTGACAAGACGAGCGCAACAACGGTCAATGTGAGCAGCCAATGTGAGCGACAGACCATTGAAACGACGAACCGATCTCCGCACTTCGTCCCGTGTTTGCCACACCACACCAACTCCCGCCCGCTAGGTAACGTGCCGTGTGACGTCGTATAGGTCCAGGGCAGGAACGTGTGCGCATTGGTGTGAAATGTGCAAACCGCTCGAAAAACCGGGAGGAGCAGTCCTACATCGCCATGCGCCGCGATATGCCGGGCCGCGGTATATAAGAGTTGAATATTTGTTGAGCGCAGTCTTGATTGGCGGATTTCGTTGAAATCGCATCGTAAACGAATTGTCGTCATTCTCAGGAATGGTAGATGGAAAAAAGGTAAAAGAAAAAGAAAAATTATTAAACGCAAAATGCTCGTATGGATGGTGCTGGTCGTATGAAGTCATTGATAGCAGGAGAACCCCCAAAGTGAAAAGCCAAAACGCCGTGATGTTGTGTTTGATCGTTAGGATGTTATATGTGGTGGTTTTCGTATGTTTCTTGGCGCCATGAAAAAGATCTTCGTATGGACAATAAAGAAAATATGATAAAATATGGAGTCGTTGTTTTTTTCGTCTCTCGTTTTCATTAATTAAGACAAGTAAGGTGTGGTCGTCGACGTGGGTCGTGCCAAAAGTTGAATGTCGAAGAAGGCGTGAAGCGTAAAGGTTACAGCATTTTGACAGAGAAAAGGGGCGTTACGCGAGAGATGCAAGGGGGAGCCGGCGAAGCGCATTCACTTGTCGTTGTCACCGACGGGCCATGGACATTTCAATGGATGTGTGGCGCTTGTGAAGCAAAGGTGACCGCTGCAGCTCTTGTACGACCCCTATCCAGCCGGCGCGGTGGTTGTGTTCGGGAGTGGCGTCGGGCGGGCGGATGCCGAGTGTGGTGACGCGCCGTGATGGTGGTTTGCGCCGCGGGTTGTCAAAGTCGGCATCGGCACAGGCATTCGCATTGGGCGTCGCCGGTGGTGAGGGTTCTTGTAGGGGCGACTCAGACTGCTGTTGGATGCCACGCAAGAAAGGATGGGAGTGGCCAAAGCCTGGCAAGCCTGGCGAGCCCGGCATGCTGGTGGGCGACGAGGGATAGTAGACGTCGTCAGTGTCGCCGGCCGCGACGGCGGCGGCAGCGGCGGCGGCAATGGAGGCGGCAACGATGGAGGCGGCCGTCTTGGCCGGTGCTGAAGGGGAGGAGGGCATGGAAGGAGTGGCGCTGATGAGGGGGCTGTTGGCGGCAGAGCTGCTCGAGCTGCTGCACGAAGAGTCGTCGCTGCCGCTGCCGCTGCTGCTGTGACTGCTGGTGGTCCGGCTGCCGTTCGATGCGTTGCGGGCGGCCCGTGCAAGAGTGCTCCGGGCGGTGGTGGCCGTGGCCGCATTGGCCGCATTCGTGGTGGCAATCTCGGCGCTTTTCTCGGCGCTCTTCTCGACACGCTCGGCGGCGGCCGTGGCCGTGGCAGCGACGATGCTCATATAGACGACCAAGAAGCGCATCCTCAGCAGGTCGAGGCGGCGCAGGCGCTCTTCGAGATGGGTGCGCTTGGATGCCCAAAGGACGCGCGCCGAGGTCCTGAGGCGTGGTGACGGGCAGGATTGGATGGGGTCGATCGGCGGTCGTCTCGAGTCGGTTGACGCCGTCGTTCGTCTCCGCTCTGAGCCACGAGGGAGGCTGGGGTTCAGGTGGACGTCGAGATCCTTTTCGGGGTAGTCAAGGCCGCTGTCCAATTCTCGCCGCAAGACCAGAACATTGTTGAGGTCTTCCCGCAAGTCGTCGCCGGCGCGCTGAATCTCACCAAGCAATCGCCCGAGGCGGATCTTGTCGTCGCGGCGGGAGACCTTGGCGACGTCGCGGTCGTAGCTCTCGTTCTCGTGCAGCGACGAGTCGGCGGAGTCGAGCAGGGCGGCAATCTCGCGGGGGGCGGCCCGGTAGGCGGCGCCGTAGCGGGCGACGATCTGGCCGACGACGACGAGCGACAAGAAAAGAGCGGTCAGCACCAGTACCAGCGTCCACTGGCGCATGGCCGAGTCGGACGACATGGTGTTGGTGCTGCTGGAGAGGAAAGGGCGAGCGGGAGACGATGCAGCGGCCGGAAGAAGCCAGACTTTGGCGCTGGGGTTGGGGTTGTATGAATAGGGTGTTGTTGTGGTGGTGCAAAAATAGGTCTTGTCCGAAAAGAGGCTGTCGATGTCCATAGAATTGTTGGGAGTGGCAGGCGGGAAGGCAATTGGTACGAAAGGAGGTGAAGTAAATACGGCAGAAAGGGCGGTCGGGTCCTTCCCTATTCACGATATGCGATTGTATGTACTCCGTACAACAAAAAACGGTAAAACGGGTAGGCACGACCTGGGAAATGCCAGAAAGGGAACGAAGGGGAAAGACAGGAGAAAAGAAAAAGGACAAGAAAAGAAAGAGAGAAAAGGGAAAGGCAAGTTGGGAGGGCAGGAGCGAACGATGCAGGCGGGTGCATATGCGCTTCTGCAGGAAGGAGGGGGGTGTTGATTTCGTACAAGACTGGAAGCGACTAGCCCGGTTTGGCGCTGTAAAGGTGATGGGGAGGCAAAAATAGGAAGGCACGCGAGGGACAAGAGAAAAAGAGCGAAAAGGGAAGGAGACACCAAGGCACGCTACAGACGTGACAGGCTCAGATGACGACAACGCACTGGGCGGGAACGGCGGATAGGCCCGGCGAAAGGGTTCTATTTTGTTGCGCTATTCAGCTATACAAACTGTTGGAGCGCTTGACATGACAGGCGACGGGGAACATACGTCGACAATTCCAGGCATCCGAATACGACACCACTTACGACGTATGACGATGTGAGTTTGGAGTACGGCAAATATCGAACGTCTCGGGACGTCGGTGTAAGCAAGGAGGCGAAAGCGGCTGGGAGGCGAGTGAATGTCTCTTGTTTCTCTATTCCTCCTTGTTTTTGTCTCCTTCCTGTTCCTGTTTTGCGGTCTCTTTTTGAAATAAGCAGCTCGCGTCCCAAGTCCCCGCCACCGGGGCTTGGTCACTTGCAGCAGAACTCGAGTATCGCAGACACGGCGAGATGGCCCAGGGGTGTCTCAAACACACCGCGAGTTTGCGGGCCATCATACGGAGTAATTACTGGCCACGGAGGTTTATTTGATAGGATGGCGTCCCGCTCACGAGCGCACCTGACCCTGCGAGGTTCTCTGCGCGTGTTGGCCAGTGAGAAAACGCGTCCACATTCAACAAATGGGCTTCTCTCT